CTAAATGGATAATGAAAATCACTTTGGCTACAGTTGCAGTATTACTTACTGTCACGACCCGTTTCCATGGGCCCGACCGGCACTAGGGCCCAGGTAAGCTTAAGGCCCCCGAGGCCCGTAGTAAGCCTGAATCACTAAAATCTATTATCTCAATATAAATTTCAAACATTCACAAACATTCAGCCTATGTTAATATGAAAAATATTGACTCCAAAATTTTATTATACCTCGCCCAAAATTTATCAGTTCTTCAAACATTACACAAGTTCAGTTCGAGCCCCATTTACAATACAACACATTTCTAATATAGGCTAACAGAATTACTTTATCTGTATTACTACACGACTAGATGTATGTAAATTCTACAACTGCAGAGTCACTAACTGTTTGTTATACATAGCTTCTTATACATATAGTTACATAGCAAAATAATTATGAAACTAGGAAAACTTCTTAATAGCCTGCGGCGAAGAAACATCGCTTAAACCGAATTAAAGAGAAACTTACTTCTTGAAAAATTTAAACAGAACATGTGAGTTTTCTAAGGAGTAATAGTTATTGCACAACACACGCAGTCACACAAATGTGTAAACATATCAATCTAGTCGTCCGACTAGTTATATGCTTCACCCGACTAGTTATATGCTCACGCAGCCAGTCACACAAATGGCATATCACCAGCACTCACAATCATAAACATCTTCATATAATCACATCACGTGGAAAAAATTAGTCAGTGGAGTCACCGAAACCCCCGATGAGCCGTCCTCCCACATGGGCTCATCCTCTCTAACGTGAGCCACCAGGGAGCCGATCCCTCATACTGGCGATCGGTCTAATCCTCACTTTGACCAGCCCTCATTGTTTCATTGTTTTTCCATTCTCTCTTTTCTTTTCCATAGCAACAGGAGGTAACCCGGTCGTCTCCATCAAATCTAGATCATCAGGCGCTCACAACAGGAGGCCATCCTGCGGGCTGCGATCTAATCTAGATTATCAGGTGCGCCCAATAAAGAGACCAACCTGTGATTTACGATAACGGTACGGTAGGTGCACACGGGGGCGCCGATCTCCCACTTTCCCGGCCGACGGTTCAATTTCATAATTCATCATAATTAGGATCCATGCTTTATCGACCGTCCTCACAAACCCATGGTGACCCACTTCATCCCAATTCCACACAAACAAAGCAAATTTCCACACAAACAAAAGCAAGCATTGTCACAATCCACAACTAATCAAGCATTGCCAATTAAATGCAGACATAATTGAACAGAATTAAACATCAGGAATGCCCAATGGCACCAATTATTGACAATTTTCCATACTCAAATGCAAAATAAAAAATAATATTAACTAATAAACAACCGGAATTGGATAGAATAAATAACTAATAATAATTAATAATCACCATAATATAAACAATAATAATTGAAAATAAATAAGTTTAATTGAATTAATTAAATAAATAATTGATGATAGGGTAAAATAATTAGAGCACTTTTATTTACTATGTATTAAGTGTATAGAATTTATTCTAAATAAACTTATTAATATATTGTTAATTAAAACTAGTCTAAGTTTCGTATTCGGAATTTCGGCAGCAACCCCCCTGGAAAACTTGGGACTATCTACCTGCTCAAATATTCACAATATTATAATATATTATCAATTAATGCCACACAGCCCATCTGTCGGGCAATCAACAATTTAAAAATCCCATCCTCCTTCCAAAAAAGGCAACCAATATCAACACTTCAACCATTAAATTACAACAATCATGCTTCAATGGTAATTATCCAATGGTAATAGCAATCATTCTTTACTTCATATAATTATAACTAGCTTCAATAGCTAATTACCAAACAAATGAAGGCTTTAATACATATATAATCCAATAAAACTTATATCATTAAGTTAATTTCAATTGTTTTCAGTTGGTAGTTTCTTAGTATCTAACTATGATAGTATTCTTTAGCAAGCTTTCATTTCTTCATTCTTGCTTAAAGATATTAACCACATTTATATCTTTGTTAAATTTTATATTAGCCAATAAGAACAAATGCTTTAATTAACTATAATGTAATGAAAACATCTATTAAGTAATTCAACTCGTCCTTGTGTATATATATATATATATATATATATAATGATTATATACTATATATATTATAAATTCTTAGGATTAGTTTATCTAAAGATATAAATTCTTAGGATTAGTTTATCTAAAGCTCCTCAATTATTCAAAATAGTTGTTGTTCATGACAATAGGTCATTCTCAACCTAGCTTATATATAATATATGAATCAATTCATTCAAATTCAATTTAATTGACTAATGATTACTAAGTTTAGAATTTATACCGAAAATAGGAAATTAATCTTAGAACGTACCAATTGAAATTTGGGTGACGATTCCACGATCAGCGTGAAGAAAAGAGAATTCTGCCTCTCAGGGCCTCGCCGGAGTGTCGCCGGCCGGTCACCGGACGGTGGCTGGAAAGTGATTTACTGGTCGAAATTCCCAAAATTCACACCAAAGCGCTCGAAATGTTACAAGGAGCTCAAATCCACTGTTTGTTTATGAGATTGGCGAGCCAACTAGCTGGACTCGGGCTCCACAGCCACTGCATCTCGCCTGAGCTGTAGCAATCGCAGGAGTCGCGAACGGAGAGAGGCGTGACGTCGAGCACGATCAGTGGCTGGGATCGACGGCGCCTGAGCCGTGGCTGTGCTGCTGCATCCAATCGAACGAAAATAGAGGGAGAGGAGAGCTAAGGCACGACGGTGAAGGGTAGCGGCGCAACCGTTGTGTTTGTCGCAGGCGACCGGTAACCACGACAGAGAAGGAGAGAGGCGAGCGGTGAACGCTGTCGAAGTTTATGGCCGGTGGCCGGAAAACGAGAAAGAGAGGGAGAAGGGACTGCCGCTCACCTGAAAAACGAAGGAAAGAAGAAGAAGAGAGGAAGAAAAAGAAATTACGTCGGTTTCTAGATCATTCCGGTTCGATTCGAATCGGTTTGGTCTGATTCAACGATTTGGCTCGATTCTTGCTCGGTTTGCAGGTTTTTCACTATTTGGCTCGCATTCTTGCTCGGTTTGCAGGTTTTTCCACTTGCGTTTTGTTTTCCGGAATTATTTGTGTGGTTCTCATTCCGGTTCGATTCGAATCGGTTTGGTCTGATTCAACGATTTGGCTCGATTCTTGCTCGGTTTGCAGGTTTTTCACTTGGTTTTCGGATTATTTGTGTGGTTCTCGATAAATTAAACTGATTTTCGGGTCTGGTTCAGTTTATTTTAACTGTTTAGTTTGGTTCCGTAATATTTTTTCCATTTACTCGGTAATAAAAATATTAATAGTAACAATATTTGGTTTTAGTATAATTAATTTATATATATTCATAATAAGTTAAATTACGGGGTTTCGTATTATTTCTCAAAAAAATTTTACTCGTTCTCAAATCGACAATTCCGATGATATATTTGGGCTTAGGCCCAACTCACAAACTTGGGTTCGAATTGAGATTGTTTGATATATATATATAGCCCAAATAGTTGGAAGTCGAGATTTTTGATTTAATAAAAATTCGAAAGCTTTTGAAAATAAAAATTCGGGGTGTTTCACTTACCTAGTGCATCCAAGAATATATGCACATACACACAAATTCTTGAAATCCAAAAAATGACCCAAACAGAAATATATAGTTCTAGTTTTTTTCCAGTTTTCTAAATACTATTTTCTTTTAACTTAAACGAATTTATGATATAAGAGAAAAAAAATCAAGAAAATTAAAAATGTTTAATCATTAATAGACTATTTATTTATTGCAAAGGAGATATAAATCTCTTACTAAATTAAAATGATAGTAGTTACAAATTATTCATTAACGAAAAAGAAAATAAAAATTATTATTAAGAGAAACTATTTCAAGACTCACTTAACAAAAAAAAAAATTTCAATATATATAAATATATAAATATATCAATAAGATATTATATATATTTTTTAGATTAAATTTTTCAATTCTCTATCATCCCAGATTTAATTATGTAAATTCTATTTGAAAATTTACTTTTTAAAAAATATATCCGATCAAATCTTTCAAACATAAAGAAGACAATATTAATAAAATAATATAAATTTTTCTTTTTTTATCTCTCTCTTAAATAAACATTATATATAATTTCATTAAAAATTTCTTTTTAAAAAATATGTCCAATCAAGTCATACAAACATAAAAAAATATATTTTCTTTCTTTTTTTTTATCTATCTCCTAAATAAAATATTTTAAATTATCAAAATGGAATTAAATATTTAATAAATAAAATATTGAAAAAATTTCAAATGTCTCACTATCATATATATTTATTAAAAATAAATTTATTAAAAATACAAATTAAAATTTTGAAACGCTTAATTATTTGTAGTATTTATTTAAAAAATATTTTTTTTATTCATTAGGAGGCCTGATGGACCGAAATAATACTGCGAGTTATACAGCAAGGAATAATCCTCCCCCTACACTCGCCAAATTGGTGAAAATACTTGTAGTCGAGAGGATTCAAACTCGAGACTTCTTAAACACTTGCAGTCGAGAGGACTCGAACTCAAGACTTCTCACTCCTTACGTAAGTGAGAAAATAATCAGACTATATATGATTGGCTTAAAAAATAATTTTTATAAATATATCTAATCAACTAATAAAATGAAAATTTCTAATCGACCATGACTGAAATTATTTTAGGATATTCTAAATTTCATCAAACCATTGTCAAAAATTTTATTATTCTCCCCTCTTCTCATATTTATATACGGTATAGATAGATCGGTAAGTGATTTATCTTTGGGTAAATAACTTTGTTCCTTTTCCTTCTCTTTTTCATTTTTTTCTTTTTTAATTTTTCAAAATTGACAATTAAAATGACTCTTGAATTTAATCCTGTTAAATTTTAACACAAAATTTTAATAGAAATAGCTTTTAAAATCCGGGATTTGTCGTATGAAAAAAATGGCTAAATTTCCAATAATTTTCATTCTGAAGTTTCCAAACAAAGAAAACACGGAGTACAACTAACTCCTTCGTTCAAATTCAAAAGTACAAGCATCTCAAGCAACAAAGACATTAAGCTGGGACTTATTTTCCTGATCAATCACGTCAAGGAACAAGGGATCAACGGTCACACGACTATCCACGTGGACCTTAAACTTGTGGTCCCACCACAACACCTTGGCCGCTCCCACAATATCTACCGTTGCATCCAGCACCATCTCCCGTTTAGCTACGTCATAAAAAAACTTAGAGGCATGGTGAGCCAGCTGAAGCCCGTCGAGCCGAGCCTGGAGCCGAAGCAACTTACAAGACCTTGGCGGCTGAGAGTCGGCCTCAACCTGAGCGGAGCCGAGGAGAGAGCCGTCGTAGTGTATGGACATGGTGGTGGAAGAGTAGTGAATGGAGGCGATATTGGGGTTGTTGACGTGTACGGTAAGGACTAACTCGGCGTCGAGGACAGGCAGGTTGAATTTGAAGGAAGTGAGATTGATTGAGATCAACTGGAAGACTGGGTCCTTGGGTTTCGCGTTAAGCAGAGCTGTTACCGCCGTAGCAGATGCTGCTCCGATGAAAGCAGAGGACCAGCTCCATTTGACTTTTTTGCCCATGAATTTTGGATGAAATCACACTCTTGTCTCTCTTCTTATTTCTTCTTCTGTTTCGTTCAGTTGCAGAGGAGAGAGGGACAATAATTTAGTCATTAGAGCGGGACCTTCCTTGCTGTGAAATGACGGAAATGAAGTTGCTGTGGCCGTAATATATTGATAGGCTTTTCTTTGTTAAGAGGGTGTTTTGGTACCTTCCATGATTTGACAGCTGTGGGAGGTGTCTAAACAAGGACACAATGCAAGTTTTAAATAGAACACTCGCAGGATGCAAATGCTATGGACAGTGAATATATAATCTTAGAGATATTTTGATAATATTTTAAAATATATAATTAATTAAGAAAAGAATTTATAATTTAAATTATTTATAATTTTATATTTATTAATTTTATTGAAAATTATTTAAAGTAAAGAATATCTATTTAAAATTTAAAATATTAGACTAATTATATAAAAATCAATGTCTATAATAAAATTGGAAGAAACGAAATACTTCGTTCATTTTTTTTAGCTTGTTATTCCTTTTTTGGATGTCCCAAAATATTTATAAAATTTCTAAATTTATATGTGTAAATAATTATTTTTTTTCATAATAATATTTATGATTATTCATTAAATGAAAAACTTTTATTAATATCTTTACGAGTTAAAAGGTAAAAAAGGTAAAATAACTTTTTTTGACTAAATTCATAATATAATTATTTTGTCAAACTACGCAAATAAAATGGTACGAAAGAAGTATATATTAAAAATCATTGATTTTAATTTATTTTTGAACCAATAAGTTTTCTTAGATGATATTAAAAATAATAAAATAAATAAAATAAAATGGACAATAGAAATTCAATCATAGACGTATATTTATCTTTTTAATGATAATTTCATATAAATAACTTTCTTTTGTGATTTATCAAACTTTTTATAATTTGATAGAATAATAGAAATTAAAAAGAGAAAAAATATATCAACATGGAAAAGAGAAATTATATAAGAATTATTGAATTACAAAAAAAAAATTGATCTATTAATAAATATTGAAACATTTGGATATTCATTATTAATAAAAATATTAATAAATATTTTCACCATTAACTTTCTCTATCATTCTTTTAAATATAAAATTTTCATTCATGATAATAATGATAATTATGATTGATTATAATGATATTCAATATCAATATTATAATAAATTAATAAATATTTTCACCATTAACTTTCTCTATCATTCTTTTAAATATAATTTCAATTTCATGATAATAATGATAATTTATTGATTGATTATAATTGATAAATTTCAATTATCAATATTATAATTAATATTAATTTAAAAGATAAGTTATAATACATATTAATATGATAAATGAACATCAAAATTTATTAATAACTTTAATTTAAAAGATAAGTTATAATACATATTAATATGATAATGAACATCAAAATTATAATAACTTTTAATTAAAAAATAGGTTGTAATATTATAATAATTTTAAGTATTTAATACATATTAATATGATAATTGCATGACAATTAAGATCGATATTATGTAATTTTAATTGAGAAAGATAAGTTACAATATTATAATTATTTACTAATATGTATAACTATGATAATTAATGTCAATATTTATATAACACTATAACTAATAATCAAATTCTATGTATCACTATCAAAATTTAAGAGTCCCATATGTCATTATAATCCTATGTATCATCACCAAGAATTTTATGTGGCAAGAGTAAGGGAAGAACATTCATTTAAGAAATGCCACATGTCAACTTCTCGGGAAAAGATGCTTGCTTTATATATATATATATATATATTGATTATGGTTGGTTTTTTTTTTTTTTATGTTTGGAAAGAATATATATTTGATTCAAGGTGGTTGGTTCATTCATTTGGTTTGGTTTGAAATAATAATCGAATTAAATTTAATCTTTAGTAGTTTGGTTTGAAATCAAATTATTAAAAGTTTCAAATCAAATTAAACTTCTAGCAGTTTGGTTTAATTTAACGGTTTAAAGCCGTTTAAAAGAAAATAAACTAAAATTTCCCATTCATCTATTTAAGAAGAAGAAAAAAAAAGGATTAATACTATAGAAAATATTAAAAATAAGTTAATATAAACTATGACGTAAAATATATTTCTTCTGTCCCATTTTGTTTGCATGGTTTGACAAAACAAACATATTAAGAATTTAGTCAACAAAAAATTATTTTGCCATTTTTACTCTTAATTCGTTAAGATATTAATAAAAATCTTTCATATAATGAACAATCATAAAAGTTACACGGAAAAAATAATTATTTACATATATAAATTTAGAAACCTTATAAACATTTTGGGATATCCAGAAAAGAGAAATAACAAGCAAATAAAATGGGACGGAGGGAGTACATGATTTTTGATAAATAGTTAATTTAGCATAATTTACTCTTTATTTGAATATTATTTATGGATAATTTTTACTTTAAAATGAGACCTTTAATTTAATTTTTATATTTTTCTTAGTTATGCTAAATTCATTAGGCAATGAGATTTGGAGGTCAATTCTTGAAGTTTTGGAGAAATATGCCCAAGTTGTAGTTGAATTTCAAAGCCTCCTGGAAGTGGATAAATTACACTTGGCAAGGCTAAGGGAGATGCATCCAAGGCAGATCCAAAACCCCCTGGAAGATGATAAATCACGATTGGCCAAGGCTAAGAGAGGCGCGTCCAGGGCTGGTCGGGATTAAGATGTTTGCCAGCTAGAGTTACTTCGAGCTTACTCTAGAAAGTCATTTAAAGTAACTGGACTATTAGAATTAGGAAAGATACTCAGATTCAAATACTTTATTTTTGTAATTAATTTGAGATTTTAATTTCCTAATTTAGGATTTTTCCTTCTGCTATGAATAGAACCTGTAGTCTATTGAGCAGGGGATCCTTTTCATCTTTTGAAACAACAACTATTCTAGGGTTTATTTTTCTTTGTGTTCTCTCCATGGTCATGCGCTGTTAAACTTTTCGTTTCAGTCAAAGGTTGCATTCAAAGTAGAAATTCCTCAACGATTGTGAGATCTTAATGCAATATTTTCTTCTTTAATTTCGATTAGTCTTTCTGTGTTTTCTGAATTTAAGGAGAAACTCTATTTCTATTGTCTTCTTATTATTTGTTCAATAGGGCCCATTGTTCAATTTAATAGGAATATATATAGCTAATTAACAAGATTAAATTCGTAATTGTTTAATCGAGTTGATTCTAATAGCAAATAATATAATTTAATTGTAACTAGGCTTTTGGATTATATTATGAAAATTCACAATCTAATTTAAATGAACCTCGCTTGCAGAGTTTGTTAATTAGGGCAAGGTCTTTCAAGGATTATAACCTGTCGATTTTTCGAATTATTGGATGACCTTAGTGCCAATGATTTAAACCCTTCATTTTTATTGCACTCTAGATATTTTTAATTGCTTTGTGATTACTATATCCTCTTTTGATAAACAACACCCCCTTTTTTATTTTTATTGTTTGATTTTCTAGTCCTCAATTAAGAATTAGTTTGAATTAGTCTTTAGGGTTCGATCGTTCTCACCATATCTACAAATTATCGATGTTAGGAAGAGCAAGAATTATTTTTGATGGTTTCGATGGCTACCAAATTTTAGCGCCATTGCCGGGGACTAATTTAAATCTGATTTATTATTTTGATGACCAGGTTTGAAACTAAACTCAACTTTGATCCAGAAATTGAGAAAACAGCTCGTGCACTAAGGAAAGCAGTAAGATAGCGAAAGAAGCAAGAAGCCACGTCGTCGAAACCACTTTTGGAAGAACCAACACCTAATTTGGTAGAGTTTCCAACCAAATTCGAAGAAGAAGAGACTGAATCTGAAGAAGAAGAAGCAATGAGTGAAGAACAAACTGTGAAACAGCTTCATGCACCTCCGTTGAATCAACAACCTCTTTGCATCACTTATCCAAATCTAGAGGTGGCATTTGGGCTAAAGTCAGGGCTAATTCACTTACTCCCTATCTTCATGGCTTGGAGAATGAAGACCCACACAAACATCAAAAGGAATTCCATATAGTGTGTTCAAGCATGAAACCATAAGGAGTAACAGAAGAGTTGATGTAACACCCGCCACCCAATCCCGAGAGACTCGACGGCGGATGCCACATTCGGTGCCGGAGACACCGTCTTAACTTAACATATAAATCATAAAACATCCGAGAGACTCGACGGCGGATGCCACATTCGGTGCCGGAGACACCGTCTTAACTTAACATATAAATCATAAAACTAAAATTTTTACATTAGAAGTAAATTGGGTATTCACAAGTTTCATGAGTATATTATTTTTTTTTATAATAAGAAATGTCATTCATTTTTTATCTTTTTTTTTTAATATATATACATTGGTAAACAATCCTACAAAAATACTGTAAAGAAATATCCCTTAAAAACTGAGCTCTGCCAAACATGTGCAATACAAAATACTCCAATGAAACTCCAAATGTCCAACATCTCCCAAATAATTATGTATTAACCGACGAACCGAAACACTTTTATGGTTATAACACAACAACACTTTTATATTTTCTTAACTGAATAAATCCTCAATAGTATTTTAGATTCATCAATTAATTGCATTCATTATATATATCAAGTCTTAATGAACTAATCATATCAACTGACTTGAAATATTTCATATTCACTCATTTAATAAATCTTATGCTCATCTCCAAATATATACACCAAAATAATTTATTATTACATAGTTAAGTTATAATTCAAATAACATAATCTCCCAAAAATGTAATAATTATACATGCCATAATTCTTAAGTACATAAATCTCAATCGACTACTACCAAATTACTGCTTTTTGATAAGATGCTTCTACTCTTCAAGTAGCATCCACATCTTCAACCTGATGCGTTATAAAAACGACGCGCTGGATGTAATAAAAACTCGGAGTGGTGCTTCCATAATTCCACATACTATACCCAAAAATTGCGATTGGCAACTTACTTAAAAACACAAAAATTTCGGTAAAATCATTTTAATAATCATAAATCTCAAATATTAACATGCATTTACATTATATAGCAAAAGAAATATCAAGATAAACTATTTTGAAAAATTAACAACATGAAGGAAATTTAATTCTTTCAAACTCATTAAATTCATTACCTTGCACATTTATTATACCAATTACACTATACTAT